CTGGACAGAGATCTCAGATGTTGTTCCTGGGATCTGTTGGAGCCACTCTCCCAGTTTGGGAGTCACAGCCCCCAATGTTCCTATTACCACAGGGACCACTTGTGTCTTCACCTTCCACATCTTTTCTAGCTCTTCTTTCAGCCCTTGGTATTTCTCAAGCTTCTCGTGTTCCTTCTTCCTGATGTTGCTATCACTTGGGATTGCTACATCTTACATCTGTCACTACAGCCTTCTTCTTCTGTTTGTCCACCACTACTATGTCCGGTTGGTTGGCCATTACCAGTTTGTCAGTTTGTATCTTGAAGTCCCACAGGATCTTAGCTTGGTCATTCTCAACCACCTTTGGAGGTGTATCCCATTTTGACTTTGGGACTTTCAGCCTGTACTCGGCACAGATGTTTCTGTACACTATGCCAGCCACTTGGTTATGGTGTTCCATGTATGCCCTGCCTGCTAGCATCTTGCACCCCGCTGTTATGTGCTGGATTGTCTCAGCGGCATCTTTGCACAGCCTGCACCTGGGGTCCTGTCTGGTATGGTAGAATGCAGTATGTACAGTATCATAAATTCCTTTTATTGAAATGATTCCAGCTGGATCAGAAAGTAATCAAGTCCTTCCTCCTGAATGTTTCAGTTCAAATATGTCCAGTGCTAAAGGTGAGTATTCCTGTAGGCAATAATGTAAGTCTACCCAGTGGTTTAGAATGTCCATTATGTCATAATAACTATCTACAGGCGTGGCTCTATAGCCTATATATATAAATAACCATGACAAGCATTGTCAGAGCCCCTTTGAGTACCTTTAGGTCCCTGTTAGGATATCCTGATGTATACTTTCCAAAGCTGTTTCAGTCTTCATCACTTGGACCTACTAGCATTGTGAAAAGCCCTTTGTTTGAACTTAAGGAGCCTTGAGCTAGTCTTCATGTGAAAGCAAGACAAACATTTATCACAGCCCCAACAAATATGCAATAAGTCAGTCATTTGACTGGTCATGTTTTATAAGAGGAGAAAATTCTGCCTTTAGATATTTTTTCCTCAAGCCCTACAAAGAGTGAACGTCTTCTCACTTTTTAATTTAATGACTCTATGACATTTTTTTTCTCTTAATTTTTGCTTGCTCGTATGGTTGGTGCTGGAAGGCTGCCTTCCTCTGCCTGAATGTTAGGAGTGAGGATTCCAGGAGAGATTGTGTGTGATCACATCAGTCACTAAAGTTACTGACAGGTAGCGGGGTGCTGAATGTTCGCTAAAGGCTTGTGAGGTGGAAGATGAAGCCATTGGAATCCCCAGGAGCTAATGACAAAAAAAGGAAAGAGCAGAATAGAAGTATGTGATTAAGATGTAACAGAAGATGGCAACAAGAATATTGAAAACACATCTATAAACCTTTAGTGTGAATCATATACACAGTTTTATAAATGAGCCCCCAGAACACTGAACTGACAGCAGGCTATTCTATTTACAACCTCAAGACTATAAAAAAACTGTGAAGCTACTGTACAAACATAAACAGGGGCACTACTATTTCTGCAATAAAGTGAGGGACATCCACAATGAAGGGGTTTAGCATGACTTAAATTTACTTTCCCTTGCTTTACCAGAGACAGTGCACATGTAGCCTACATTTCCCCTGGGTTTGAGCTTTAAAAATTTGGATTCAAAAGTTATTTGGCTTTTATAATAAACACAGAAAATGTTTCCTTAAAATAAATCCTTGACTGTGCCAGATGGAGCAATAGGTTCTTTTTCATCTGTAGTTCCTGGGCAGGTCAGGGCATGAAGGACCAGCGCTGGTTTGACAAATGTTCTTACAGTACTCTCACAGAGCTTTTAACTATTAAGCTGCAATAAAACTTCTTAACAGGGAGTCCCAGTACAAGAATTATGCCATTTGTTTGTTTTTCCTGAGACTTAAAAATATTTTACTCCCTGATTTTATTACAACACTAACAAGTGCACTAAAATCAACAAACTACCTCACTCTGTCTAGTATAGCTAAATAACAAGAACTCACTACACAAGTACTCATATAAGCAGCTATATGCATACTGTATGATATTATGCATATTTGTTCTTGTTGAACAAAGTACATACCATTTTCTGTATGAAAAACTGCGATTTGTCAGATCAAGAGGGAAGGTGTCTACAGACACATCGGTTCAAAGGTCACCTGGGGCAGTAGCAGCAATAGCTGGGTGTGATTAGCACAGATTATCTAGTATTTTGCTGCTAATCCAATTATAACTTTGCTTTCACAGTAAAACCTTAGGTGAATAACTTTTCATGGTGCCTTCTTGTCCCATCATGTTCCTTTAATACATCATGCATGATGCTCATGATGTCACTATTTGGTTAAAGCTATATAAAGTTATCCAGGTGCATCTTTTCACCAATAAAAATATGTTTTTTTTTCATTAATTAAGTTTATATTTGCAGACGCATGTCAGAGAAGTTGTATCAGGTTTACATGAGACAAGTTACCTTGAATATATTTAGGAAACAGCTGTATGGAAAATCACAAAAAACAAATAAAAGCTCAGTTCTTTTGATTTTATAACACATCATATACTGGAGATAACTACTGGAGATAACATGAATCAGCGAGTATTACAATGACAACCAGTAGACATATTGAAATATACACGACATGAGACATTAGGTCAGTGCACTCGGCATGCATCTGAAATAATATATAATGAAGGTGATATAGAAATTCTGCAAATGCATATTTCTGTTTTCAGTGCAGTCTTAATAATGGTAAAAAGATTTTGAGCAGGTCAGAAATAATAATAATTATAATAATAGCATGAGCAGCTTTGGTGGACAAGCAGAATTTAATGTTCAACTATAGAAAATATTACTTTCTACTCCAATCGACCAAATATGTCAGGATCAACTTTGGTTAAAGGCACACAAGACATGTATGATATTTTCATTTTTTAATCTGACAGAGCAGCTAAATAAAGCAACGTATTTCTTTTTTGAATATTGAACTTAAGATCTTGCAACCTCAAATACATGTTGGGACAAGCAGCTCCAGAACACCGTGCATATGATAATGTTGACGGTGTAACACAAAAGGGGAGATTTTTAAAGGGAAGGGTTCAAAAACCCAGTATAACCTATTGCTCTAGGACAGTATTTGCCGTTTGCTTCATGTGTGTGTTTCCTGGATGAAGCCTCCTTCCTCTTTCTGATGCCGTGACTGCTCTGCTGCAGTCCATAGGTTTTTCTAGCCTGGGCTCGCTCCTTCTCCATAACCTCAGTGTCATCCAGAATCTCCAGACCTGGAATCTGACTGATGACATATTGTCTATGAAGGCAAAAAAAATAAAAATGCTGTTAGCAAGATATGCTGTACACAGAATGACAAGTGGTGGTGTCGCACTGGGCTGTATCACACTGAAGAGACAGTTCTAATATTCTGCTCCCACCTGTACAAAGGTTTGACCCAACATACTTCCATATAATGCAGTCTACAACAAAGTACTGACCACCTGCTCAGTAAATTTACCCCGCACTCTCATGAATGGAAGAGCTATTGTACTACATAGGATTATATTGTACTGGTGTGCTTAATAAAATGGGAATTAGGAATAAATATAGAGTATATAGATAGAATTTTACTCTTTGAGACTGACTTGATTTGCACAAGTAAATAAAAAAATCACATTTTTGTTGTGTTGGCTGGTTCACATTGTTATGACATTATAACCAATTTGATGTTTTTTATACTGTAGAAAATAACACACATAGTGTTGTTTGATAAATGCATATAGCTAAAGGGGAACCTTATTTTCCAACTCCTAACAGATCCACAACACAGTGTCTGCAGTGTACAGGTGGCTGTGCCTTTTTTCTGCTGACTGCAATTGCCCATTTAATCAGTCCATTGTAATACAGCAGTTAACAGCGCCACAAAGCTATCAGATGTCTTCAGATGAATACAGACAACACGCAGGGCTTACATTACAAAGTGCATATTGAAGACTGATTGTTCAGTATTATACTCAAATGGTTGTTATGTGGACAGTACAGTGATGCACCTGTTGCTGGATTGCCCACTGGTAAAGATATTTGGGCCTAATGTATTTGAAAACCTCTCACTGATTTCTAATATACACATCAAACACTGTCCATTAGCTTGTTTTACTGGGCACAAAGGGAAACATTGTGCATTTCAATACTGTAGACTAGATTAGTATATGATTTTACAAATAATTCTAATGAACAAAAACTATGCAAACCACACTGTTCTACAAACACTTATCAGTGTACTGTACCTGCTCTGTTCTGGCCCGCCCTCTCTCTTGTGTTAATGTTTTAACACAAATTTAGTTTAACTGTGTTCTGTCATATTCGTATTTTTGGCTCTGTAAACAGCTCCTTAGCTCCTGACTGATTGTCCTTTAATATGTTGTAATTAAAAGCCAGATCTCTTCTCAGACACCACTAGTCATAACACTGCATATTCTGGCACTGTGTTCTTAATGAGCCAGACAGGGGAGCCATTCCTCAAGTAAACATGTGAAACGCCTTAACTTCTGCACATGTGGTCTTAAGTGAATAAACTACACTTCTTGGATTTTTCATATTTCTACTCCTCTTTTATTTCCCAACATGAAGATCTAAATGGATTGCATGCTGTAGAAACAATCAATCTTTAATTATGTTTTTAAATGTATTTGTTCATTTTTATTGGCATAAAAGCAGTCAACCTTGCATGTACTGAGTCTTGAATCTGGCTACAGAATACACTCCTCATTATGTGTACATTTCTAATTGTAAAAGATAGTATGGCCATGATTAGTTATAGATTAAGTAAGATTAAGTGACAACCTATAGCTTAGCAGATAAAATACTGTGCAGTAACTAAAATGCAGTGGCAAAAGTACAGAGATTCTTCTTTATGGTTTTATGATTAGTGACCATAAATCTGCAAACACAACCAGTCAGTGAGAAGTAGGACCTTGATACTTGCCTATAGTCTTTGTACTGGGTCAGACTTCCTCCATTGAAATAGCTAGGTGCTGCCTCATTGTTCATCATACTGAGGATCCTATATTTGAAATGAGTAGAGAAGCATAAGAGGGACAAAATGGAAATGGTTATGCAGGGTAATAACAGCCACGTAAATATACAATATACATCTTCAACAGAAATGCCAGGCTCACTTGATGTTTGGGAACTTTTGTCGGATTTCTTCCACAAACACAGGCAGATTGTTGATCTTGTTCTTGTTGATGCACACTGTGGTGACACTGGGCATATAGGGGAACTTGACATGAGACGTGTAGTTGTTGCAGTCCATAATCAGAGTGCTGAGCCTTTCCAGCTGACCCAGCAGTGCCGGGTTCCAGTAAGGACTGAATAAAGGAGAACACACTGAACTGCACCTGCTCATCAGTTACTGGGGAAATATTCATTATAATTTTATTTAATCTTTATTTATTTATATATCTCATCTGGCCTGGGAATGCCCCAGAATCCTGCCAGAGGAGCTGGAACATGTGGCCAGGGGAGAGGGACGTCTGGACTACCTTACTGAACCTGCTGTCACTGTGACCTGACTCTGGATAAGCGAAAGAAAATGGATGTAAATCGCTAACCTTTATTTAACCAGATAAGTCCCACTGAGATTATAAACCTCTTTCACAAAGGAGACCTGGCCAACAAAGTCACTCGGGTAAACATAATAACACAATATAACATTACAAGCACATAAAAAAGGGGGTTACCACAACACATTTAAACTTCAAAGACCCAAGCAGAGACATGTAGCAAAAGAGTCAGTCTTCATTAAGTATATCATGGCCTTAAATCTCGACAATGATACCAGACTGTCCAATTTAATTTCTTTTTCCAAGCTATTGGAAGTATCTGCAGCAGAGAAGCAAAATACCTTCTTTCCTATCTCTGTCCTTGGACTAGGGAGCAGATAAGTGATTATAAGTTATAATTAAATGAAGAGTTTCAAGCAATAAATTTACAAAGATAGCAGTGTAGCTTGCCAAGAATAGCTTTCTAGATAATTAAATACAAGTGATTTAGTCAGCACATGGAAGGAGAAGGCCATCTAGAGTACAGGGTGCAATGATGAGTCACTGGTTTTGTAACAAACCTTAAAGGACTATGACAAACAGTGTCCAACTTACAAAGACATTGTGCAGATGCATTCATATGTAACAAATCACCATAATCAAGAACATGCAGAAAGGTGGCTGTACTGTCCTCGCCATGAGTAGTCCATTTTCAAAGCTAGACAGTCAGCTTACAGGGTGTAATTCCCCAATAAAAACAAGGCGTGACGTTTCTTGTTATTCAATGAGGAATTCTTTATTTGTTTTTCTTTTGTAAAAGACGAATAATGTCCAAGGCACAACATTGAGAAGTAACAGATGTTCACAACACAAAACCTTGCAGGCTACCATGTCTGACTTAACTTTGCATCTAGTCCCTCAAGATTACTGCTGCCATAAAACCCACAGGGGGCAGTGCTGCATAATTCACGATAAACAGTTCCAAATGCACTCAAACAGAGGGCAGAACAGTGGCAGCATAACAATAAACAAATTTTATTTGCTTCCCTTTAGCTGTCACACTGTCAGCTAAGTCTATAGCATCAGCTTAGTTTTATCTGTATTCAATACAAGCTTAAGTTTGGAAAGCTGACACTGCTTTATATTTAAACCAACACAATAGTATCTGCCTAACAGTGAGAAAAGTCCAATCAGCATTTACACCCAAATTATTAACAAAATAAAATTGGGCCAAGCATAGACCCCTGTGGTACTTCAGTAATTTCAGATAGCCGATCCCAACAGAGCCCATTAACTTACACACCGAGTCTGCCAGATAACTTGAAAACCATCCTGCTGCATGCACAGACAATCCTAGACCATTGTATTAACAGGCCATGGTCAACAATCAAATGTGTTAGATAAATCAATGAATAAAGCTATAATATCCACTTACAGGACCTTGCTGAGGACTACAGTATGCTCTTTAAAATAATATACAATAAAGGAAGGTTACTTTATGTCTGATTTATCAGATGGGAGATTATTGCTTCAGTTTGTGCTGCTCTAAGTGTCCCACTGTGACCTAACTTAATCAGACAAATATGGGCCTGCTGCCACAGACATGTAGCAGTATTTTTGGTCCTTACAGCTGTAGTAATCAATATTTTTACATTTTATATATATATATGGCTTTAGGTTTATGGCTCTGATGACATTGCAGTGTCTTTCAGCTCACTGTGTTATGACCAGCAACTAGTTGTGGTTCACTCTCTTAACTCTCATTGACCATTATTTCAGGCAGGCAGCTGTGTTTGGCACAAAAAAAGATAATAATTCCCTATGGGTTTGTCACTAGCAGCAGCACCTTTCACATTAAACACAGCCATTTTATCCATGGTAAAATAAAAATACTGATTAGTGCAGCTTTAATTTTCTCTTTTAAATACCAAGCACTAAAAACAGAGGCACACTATATGACAGTAGTTGTAGTAGGTCCTACCTTCTGACTATTGAGAAAAGGATACTCATCCAGCAGATTGTAACTCAGATCCAGTACCTCCAGGGTGTCTTTCTGTGTTAGTATGGTTTCATAAGGGATTTCTGTCAAGCTCTGGTAAGCAAAAGAAAGCCACTGAAAACTCAAGGCATGACTGCATTGATTGTGTTGGCCTGAAGTATGATGATCCATGGCAACAACTCAAGCACAGTAAGCCCTTCAGTTCCTCTCCACTTGTACTGATGAAGATTAGGAAGAAAGTCAGATGATTAAATCACAATCAAACCTGGAATAAACAACTAAATAATTGACTGAAAGTGTGTTAATAGTGTTTTACTAAAACACAATTACTACTATTAATACTGGTACCAACCTTCTGAAGCTCACTGTGAAGACAGTACTCTGGGAAGCTGCTCACAGACCCTGTGTGCTAAATTCTGTGTTCACATAAAACAAGTGAAATCTATCATGTTTTAATAACTTTAGCTTTAGAGGTGTTTGTAGACGTTCTGTATTTTAGAACTTCGATTGTTCGGCTAGTTACATGTAACAACATCCTGACTCCAGATACTGTATCAATCTTCTCATCTTACTCCCAGAACTAAAGTAAAAGTGTGCTTATTTCTCAACACAGACTATTCTTTTAATGTTCAAGTGACAATAGAAACAAAAATTGTATATTAACTGCCAAATGACTTTTCATGATAATGACCTAAAGACAAATAAGACAAATACACCTTTATTCATTAGTTATACATTATACAAAATACATTTCTCAAAGACAGTAGAGTGGTGGTTACCAGACATGGTTACAGTAGTTAGCTACCACAATATTATCTTAGTAGGACTTATTATGTCAGCTGACAGCCCTCTTTATTTTAAAACTTCTTTTCAGTTCGGCATTGACCCATGTTAGCATTATGCAAAAATAGGGCTGCTCTTCATATTAAAATCTTCCTGAACAAAGTGAATGAGTGGTTTTAGCATTTTCTACAACACATGCCTGCTGATCATAAACTAAAGTACGTGAGCAGCTGCCAATGCACTAATATGTTACCTACTAGGAAAGAGCTTTATTCCAGAAAACACTTGTAAAAGTGCAACTGTCTCAGTGGACTTTCCTTAAGGACCTTCCTCCTGACTTACTGATGTAATAAATGCTGCTATTGTAAGACTTACAAAAAGCTTTTCTTTTTAATCCATTACAATGGTGATCAGCCATAACAACAAATTGCCACTTACATATCCGAAACTCAAATATTTCAGGTTGTCCTGCTACTATGTGAAGAACAGCCCCAAACAAAAGCCTAGACGGTGTGTATAAATGTATATTTAGTTCACAATGAAACTCACCAAGCAGAAGAGAATCCCTTGTATTTTCTCAGTGCATGAAAACCTCTGAGAACTGCTTACAGCTTATATAATGCCCTCTTTCATACCCCAGTGGTAGATCACATGATAGTGATAATCACATTGCCTCTTAGCCTTGTGGTTTGCAGGACCCAGTGGCCCACATCTAAACAACATAGATAATGTTGAATTCTCAAAAAAAGACAGTGGATTAAAACTGATGAAGACATGTCAACATTAAGTCTAGTTTTACAGTACTTAAGGAAAGTTGTTTAAGGGTAATTTAGAAACTGGCCTCGCCTCCCTACCAGCACCACCGCAGTCCATGCACTGTAGACTGTATGTACCCTTTGCCTTCAAATTCCCATCAAGTACAGCGACACAGCAGACCACAGAATGCATTTTCATTAGATTTTGCCTGTAGACATGGAACCCAAACGGTAAAAGGCAACATACACTGGGGGCGTTGTGTCAATCGACACGTCGACACGTGACACTCTTAGCATGCACCAGAAGTGGCTTCGTGAATTCAGTGACGTGACACTCTTAACATACACCAGAAGTGGCTTCGTGAATTCAGTGCAGGACTATCAAAATGGTTGAGTTCTTCAGTATCTTAAGCTTTTGACATATGTCAACCCTGGGTAAATAGGACAATAGCATATCCTGACGCAGCAACATGCATCAACCTGTGATGATGGCTCAGTTCACTGCTGTTGTGTGGGGTTGATTTGAAAATAATGGGCGCAAGTGTTTTGTCACACCTCACTAATGAAAGTTGCCATTAGTATTCTGCTAGTACACTGTCAGTTGGGTTGGGGTAATTAAACACTAATTTAGGAATATATGCAATGTAAGCACAGTAATAATCAAAGTGATAAAAGACAAAACTACACTGAACAAAATTATAAATGCAACACTTTTGTGTTTGCCCCCATTTTTCATGAGCTGAACTCAAACATCTACAACTTGTTCTATGTACACAAAAGGCCTATTTCTCTCAAATATTGTTCAAAATCTGTCTAAACCTGTGTTAGTGAGCACTTCTCCTTTGCCGAGATAATCCATCCACCTCACAGGTGTGGCATATCTAGATGCTGATTAGACAGCATGATTATTGCACAGGTGTACCTTAGGCTGGCCATAATAAAAGGACACTCTAAAATGTGCAGTTTTATCACACAACACAATGCCACAGATGTCGCAAGTTTTGAGGGAGAGTGCAATTGGCATGCTGACAGCAGAAATGTCCACCACAGCTGTTGCCTGTGGATTGAATGTTCATTTATCTACCATAAGCCGTCTCCAAAGGCATTTCAGAGAATTTGACAGTACATCAACTGGCCTCACAACCGCAGACCATGTGTAATCACACCAGCCCCGGACCTCCACATCTAGCATCTACACCTCCAAGATTGTCTGAGACCAGCCACCCGGACAGCTGCTGCAACAATCGGTTTGCATAACCAAAGAATTTCTGCACAAACTGTCAGAAACCGTCTCAGGCAAGCTCATCTGCATGCTCGTCATCCTCATTGGGGTCTCGACCTGACAGCAGTTCATCGTTGTAACCAACTTGAATGGGCAAATGCTCACATTCGATGGCGTCCGGCAATTTGGAGAGGTGTTCTCTTCATGGATGAATCCCGGTTTTCACTGTACAGGGCAGATGGCAGATGTATGGCGTGGCATGGTGTGGGTGAGCGGTTTGCTGATGTCATTGTTGTGGATTGAATGGCCCATGGTGGCAGTGGGGTTATGGTATGGGTAGGCTTACGTTATGGACAACGCATTTTATTGATGGCATTTTGAATGCACAGAGATACTGTGACGAGATCCCGAGGCCCATTGTTGTGCCATTCATCCACGACCATCACCTCATGTTGCAGCATGACAATGCACGGCCCCATGTTGCAAGGATCTGCACACAATTCCTGGAAGCTGAAAACATCCCAGTTCTTCCATGGCCAGCATACTCAGTGGACATGTCACCCATTGAGCATGTTTGGGATGCTCTGGATCAGTTTCTGGACCCCACCCGGACCCCCGCAGTACAATAAAACTGCACATTTTAGAGTGGCCTTTTACTGTGGCCAACCTAAGGCACACCTGTGCAATAATCATGCTGTCTAATCAGCATCTTGATATGCCACACCTGTGAGGTGGATGGATTATCTCGGCAAAGGAGAAGTGCTCACTAACACAGATTTGTGAACAATATTTGAGAGAAATAGGCCTTTTGTGTACATAGAACAAGTCGTAGATGTTTGAATTCAACTCAAGAAAAATGGGGGCAAACACAATTTTGTTCAGTGTAGATTTAGATACAGGGTGCCTTAGCTAATGTTTCAGGACCTGCAGGGAACCTGGGCCTTTTGGGGTCCCTGGTGGTCTAGGGTTCTGATAATGCAGCCTTGGCTCTGCCTGAAATAAGCAAAATTCACAATTATTCTTATTAGCATTATACACGGAATTACTCTTTCAGTGGTTATTTAAAATAAACAAGGTCACTTAGTGTAGCAGGTAGCTGCTTTTTAGACACATCAATTGCCTCAAAGTTCATTATAAATCATAGAAATCTTTCCAGCAGTGTTTCCATCACTCCTTATTGGAAGGTTGGTTGTGCAGTTTAAATGTCCTGAGTCCTTCCTTTGGCAGCTCTTCTGAAACAACATGGCTGTGATGCTGTTCACGAGGTCAAAGTCAAGTCTTGACTGAACACACAAAGCGATGACCTCTATTCGTTTTGCAGTCCTTGATTTGCCACTTTGCCTTTCTCCACACTAGGACGCACTTCTCGCTTCCCTTCAGTTTTGATCGAGGGGGCGTTTTTCTCCAGTTGGTGTAGCTGACCGGGTCACCACCAGCCCACTCCCAGCGCCCTTGGCCTTCCCTGTCATTCAGGCCTTAAGCAACAGGAGAAACACCAGTGACAGTAAAAAAAAAAAAAAAAATTTTACTAATGCAATGCATCAAACTCTGAAAGATGTGGTAAAATGCATGGATTTTAGCCATTGAACCAATATCTGCCTCAGAACCGACCTTGAATTGGGTACTGGGCAGACCAAGCTACATTAAATAGTATTATCCGCTCTGCTCCATTCACTTGCTGTGGTGAAACATGATTGTGATTTCCTGATATTCTCACCTCTTTCTGCAAATCTTCACAATAAATATATTTTAAACCCATTTTAATGTGCTTGACTGTAGAAGCACAGGTGTTGACTATACAAATCCTGCTTAGCTAACATTACCAAAAATTTACACAATGTAGTTTTTCCAAAAGTACACTTTTGCAAATTCTGTTGAAAGCTCATTTGCACACTGTAAACAAAGTAACACTCAATTTATTTACATGATTAACAAATCATGATAAAGGAAACTGACTGCATCCTATGAAAACAAACTTTAAACTGATGTGTAAATACATATAATTTGACACTGTAAGAAATACACATAAAACAAAGGGCTTTAAATCATCATTAAACAGGAACACTGTTGTAACAAATCAAGTACAAAATAACCACCTATCCAGAATGGTTTTCGTCCAGTGAAATTCCAAAGCCAATGCATGTCGACTTTAGACAGAACACTAGCTAGAGTTCCTTTATACCTGAAATAAAAAAAAGGACAGCTGTTTTCTGTTTGAAGGAATAATTTATAGATCATATACTGCAAATGAAATGATAATTTTGTGCATGACAGACAAGTATTCAGAAGCATGTACAACCATGTTTTCTGCCTCACAACTTCTCTCCAAAATCTGTAAATCCTTTAACACACGTGCTCTGTGTTTGTGTGAAAACACAATGTGTTCGAGCTGCATGCCAAGCTGTACCTCTCTCTGCAGGCTCTGTTAGCTGTGCTCCAGGTGGCTTTGTGCTCAGTGCTGAGGATGTAACAGTGGCTACCATGAAATGTCCAGCCTTGAGGACACACCTGAGCATTCACCATCTGTTTCAACAATAAATGTGCAGACATGTTGACATTTGTGCTTAAACATAATTCCCATTTTAAATGGAAATATTAAGAAATTTTAGAGGTTTATTGATGATTTGTCAAGAAAGAAAAATCATACAGACTGAACTGTAATGGAATACTGTATGCGTTTTAACTTGTAAACCGCTCAGTTCCTTTCTGGGTCTTCATAAGTAACCAACTGGGGACACAGAATGTTTACTGTGTCCAAGGTAGTTTCCATGGGCTTCATTTGGCCTTTAAGTGTTACCGCTTCAGTATAAAAGTTCATTCTTGTCCTTGGGATTAGGCTTGACAAAAAAAAAAAAAAAAAATCTAGAGAAAAGGCGTTCTTAGAAGTTTCACAAAGTTCTATACTAGATCCAATTCATTTTAGTCTTTATGTTAACATTTAGGTCATTTATAGGGACAGTGTTGACTTTATTTGCTTTGCAGATGACACCCATTTCTACATTATATAACTGTTGATCTTGAATAACTGAACCCCCATTTACTCCCTTGAAAAATACATGTGATATTAATTTATAGATTCATTCTGAGTAAGACTATTGTTATTGATCCACACTCACAATGACTGAAACAATCTGCCGACAATTTACATCACTATCTTACCAAATTACATTACAATTTCCCCATTGAGGGATCAATAAAGTACCTACCTACCTACCTCAGGCATGAAATGTGGATGTTACAACTGACTCTGATATAACTTTCTAATCACATATCAGGAACATATGTAAAGCAACACTTTGTCACTTGAAGAATTTTGCCAAACTATGTCTTTTCTTTTTCCCACAGATGCAAAGATGCTGTGGATGCAAGAAAGTTTCCACCTGCTGTGAAGTTGATATACCTGATCACTTGGTGCCCAGGGTTTCCAGGAGACACCGTTGCAGTGAAAGAGCTGATTGGTGCTTTGGTTGAAATGCAAAAGTCCCATCAGTTCTGGCACACAGGGCTTGATGATGGCATTATCAGCTGGAACCTATAGGCCACAAAAATTATACTTAGTGTGAAACAAGAAATATGCACAATATTACAGTGTGAAACATTGTCACACAGATGGTAAAAAGCACCCCACAATGGTAGAGCTGCAATTCCATCCATCCATTTTCCTCCGCTTATCCGGGACCGGGTCGCGGGGGCAGCAGTCTAAGCAAAGATGCCCAGACTTCCCTTTCTCCATACACTTCCT